CGATATTGTGATTGATTTAAATTGTGTATGATAACATTACATAGAACAATATATAAATTATTAATGTTATGTATGTCTGGTCACATTACATACAACGATATATAAATTACTATATAATTATTAAAACAATATATAAATTATTAATATGTTTGTAAATAGTATTGTATATGTACGTACTTTTTTATATTTAATAAACATTATTATTAAATTACATTCTCACGCTCTGATAACTCATCTAATAAATTATACAAGATAAACTAATAATTGTTGGAAACTCTTCACTGTTTTACAATTACAATGTTTGACCACGCGATAGAACGATAATAAAAGTCATACCAATTGTATGCGTTCGGGATTCTATCATAAATAATACTTTAGAAAAGCAGTGGTATTTATTCAGATTTTCAACGATTTTTATTCTAATATTTGTAAATCGCGAAGCCAAGTGAACTGAATTTTCTCATAAATGTATCTTTACGATCTCGAACCTAGTGTTAAGAGTGATTCATTTCCAATTGTACGACGTTTCTGTATTGACCTTTCATTCTAAGAGTCCAGTAAACACGGTCTTCATGGTGATTTCCTATTATCGCTAGCATAATCTAGGCGTTGACGTAATCAAATTTAGTACAAATTCTTTAGTACTTCGATAAACCGTTTCACAATTAGCCTACAATTTAAATAGCCTACAATTAAATAAGAAAACACTATTTACAACAGAAAATATGCAAAACATTAACAATTATCGAAATACAAACAGTGCGTTCTCAACTTAACATAGTATCTGCGGGTCACAGATCGAGCTTTATTCGCGACTATCGGAGAGAAATGAATGAATTTTGAATAAATACGCTTTTTTTTAAAAAAAACATAATATTCGCAAAACTATTTATATTTATATTTTTATTATTATTATTATTTATTATTATTATATTATTATTATTATATTTATTATTATTATTATTATTATTATTATTATTATTATATTTATTATTATTATATTATTATTATTATATTTATTGTTATTATTATTTATATTATATTTATATATTTTTATAACAAGTATATAACGAAGATTTTTAGGATTTCACAGAGGGATTCTTTCAAGTATACATATATCGAGATTAAAAAAGAATTGAATTTTTTAAAAATGTATTAATACCTCTCCCGCACACAGTGTGTTAACTATGAGTAATCCGCTATTATATTTTACCAAATTCAGCAGGCATTATTCAAAAACTAGATCATTTAAGGAAGCCATCGTTAAATAAGAATAGTGTTCTGATTAATTAAAATGCAAAACGAAAACTTTACTTCTATCAAACCCCTAGCATACATTTACATTTATCAGGCCAGAGATCGAAATAATATTTGGAGCTTCAATGATAATTTAGTAAGAATTTATTATCACAAGTTGATGCGTTTGAAATATCGGATCTTTGAAAGAATAATAAAAACTTCGTGTCGTCTTTTGAAAAAATCTCTATTTAATAGATGCCATTTTTAAAGTTCCGATCTTTTGTACGAATAAGCTCGTCTATGGGGATTTTAAATACGATCTTCGTTTGCGAAGTGTTTAAAAAAAAGTAAGACGAGTTCTAAGTATTTCAAAAAAATGTTAAATTTCATACTTCAATTCGTTTAATTTTGAAACTGTTTTTCGCGACGTATGCGGATCGAGCGTACCGTGGAGAACTATAAAATAAACGACAAAAATGTCGAATGTAGAAAAACATCGTTTTTGTCAAAATATGATGCAAGCAATGCACAATAAGACCGCGAAAGTGGTTTCGTCGCACGCAACAACATAACGCAAGCAGTGGAACAAACATTTGCACGTAACAGAGATCCGACATTTCATATGCACCGACCTAATAAACAGAAAAACAATAGATTACTCGTCTATACGTATTGAAAAAAATCATTCACGATGATGCGGTACCTCGAGTCCTTCATGCAGACCACCAGGATGCGAAGGACGCCGAGATCCGTTGTCGCTCTCACCTGAAAAACAGAGAAAACACAGTTGCTGTACGATAAACAGGTCGTGAAAAATCATAATGTTCGTTAGATTTTCATGCACACACTCCCGACAACGGGAACCCATCGGGCATCTACTATACAGAGTCTCCCAAAAATGTCTCGCGATCCGGAAATGACGGGTTCCTCGGATCATTCGAAGCAGCTTCTTCCTTTACAAAAATGTTCTCCGAGGCACCGTTAACGAGTTATTAACGAAAAACAGCGACCAATAAGAATCGAGTACGGCTGGCGCGAGGCGACCGAGCCAGTGAGCGGAACTGGGCTCCGCGCGCTCGTTGGCTAGGCAGCCGCGCGTCAGTCGAGCTCGCCTCTCATTGGTCACTGTTTTTCGTTGATAACTCGTTAACGGTGCCTCGGAGAACATTTTTGTAAAGGAAAAAGTTGCTTCAAACGACTCGAGAAACCCGCCACTTTCGGATTGCGAGACATTTTTGGGACAGCCTGCATATAATGCTGACTTTTTGATGAGGTTTCGCACGGCCAGATCATATTGGCGCGAGACGGCCGAGCCAATGAGCGGAACTGGGCTCCGCGCGCTCGTTGGCTAGGCAGCCGCGCGTCAGTCGAGCTCGCCTCTCATTGGTCACTGTTTTTCGTTGATAACTCGTTAACGGTGCCTCGGAGAACATTTTTGTAAAGGAAAAAGTTGCTTCAAACGACTCGAGAAACCCGCCACTTTCGGATTGCGAGACATTTTTGGGACAGCCTGCATATAATGCTGACTTTTTGATGAGGTTTCGCACGGCCAGATCATATTGGCGCGAGACGGCCGAGCCAATGAGCGGAACTGGGCTCCGCGCGCTCGTTGGCTAGGCAGCCGCGCGTCAGTCGAGCTCGCCTCTCATTGGTCACTGTTTTTCGTTGATAACTCGTTAACGGTGCCTCGGAGAACATTTTTGTAAAGGAAAAAGTTGCTTCGAATGGCCCGAGGAACCCGCCACTATCGGATTGCGAGACATTTTTGGGTCACCCTGTAGACATGATCGCGAAGAATGAAAAGCAGTCGAGGCAATTGTATACGTAATAAAACCGTTTCCGAGACCGAGCGCGGTTATTCCTCTAATATTCTCAGAGACCCAGTTCCCCATTCATTACGTACAACGAGCAGGGTAATCAAATTAGATCGTTCCTCTCAGATTAACTTCTAAAAGTCTACTCTACGCCGCACAGCTACCGTGTGTTCGCCGCGTTCGCCACGGTTTCGAGAGCAAAAGGTTGATCTCGTTCGCCGGAAATCTAAGAACAAAGCCTTCCTGAAAGTTCCAGTCCACCCCTAATCCAAGGTAACGCTCACATTGTGTGTTCCTCCTCCCCTTTCCTCTCCGCGCGAGAAGATCGGCGCGCAGATTCGTAACGCGGCGGCCAAGGCAATTAACGGAGCCGCGTGCAACATCGTAATTATTCGCCGACTGTTGCAATTACTCACTCCAGTTTTGCGAGCACCGTCGAGCGGGCAGCAGCCTCGGGTACGCATTTTATTCACGCTCTCATAGACGAGAATGCTCGGAACCGATGTGATCGCGTCCAGTCTCGCGTTATGCTTATTTTACCGCGGCACCGTGACGCCGCTGGACTACATTTTTCTATGTTCCGACGACGACGCGGCGATCGTGGGGTCTGGCTTTTTTTCACATCTTTCTTTC